ACAGGGCTTTAATCAAATGACGTGATGCAGGACATGGACATCATTTGGCTTACAGATGTTGAATAAGTAAACTATCCAGGAGGTCTGGGAATTTACAGAGCGAAAAGGTCAGAAGCTGAAACCACTGATGAATAGAACCTGCTCTCAGGGTTCAGCTGTAAAATTCCAGTTCTGTCAAACACTGAACACAGCCAGTTATTTAACACAACATTTAATAAATAGAAGGCAGACACATAGTTGCAGTTGCTGCTTCTTCTCCATGCCGGATGATTGGGAGCTTGGCCTTGACTTGAAAGCTCTTGGCGCGTCTGATGGAAGAGGAGCGGGCTTCGGGCCCGGTCTTCCTCAGCCAGCTCAGCCCCTGGAAGGTGAGCCCCACCGTGGGTGTAAAATACCACTGGGCAGATATATTTCGCCTATGAAATATGGATGTAGGCCTTGTGTGAGTCTTTGCCTGCCTGTGCATGTGTCTCAGTGGAAGGTTAACTGGAGGGCATGGCTTATTTTGCTACAGCAGACTTGGCGGTGCTCCAGACCTGGAAAAGTAGCAGCAGAAGTGTCACTTAATATGGCAACCTACATGAGTATTTATTTAACAGCATGGAAATCAATCATCATTTTTGCCCAAAGGTCGGTTACTATGGCACAAACTGGTCATTATTAAAACTCTATGCTAGTATTTCTAAAAATTATCAACTCCTCTACATTTTAAGCTTTTTTCAACAGCTTATACATCTTCAGGTCAAACTAACCAACTATGAGACTAGGGGTAATAAACTAGTTTTGAAACCTTCTGCTGAATTGCATTGTCAGGTTTTCACACCAACTTAAGTACTATTAAGATACAAACTTTTGATTCACCCAAACAGGGATATAATTGTAATATCACCCAAATTTTACACACGAGAGTCATTTTTACTCTAATTATGACTATATTGCTGGAATATATCTTTTGAGACACTAATTAACATATTACATTTTCTTTAGTTTCCCAAATAAATCAGAATAAATCAGAATCACTATTCAACAAATTTGGATTTTAAGTCAGATGGCATAATTGATCAACCTGCTTAAAGGTATAGTGGAGGATTTTTGCGATTTTTTGAAAAGACTCACACTTCTACTTAAAAAAAAAAAATCAAATCAAATACTCATGCACAACCCTGTACCCGCTCCTGAGAGAAAACGCCTGTTAGACGCGTGCAAGAGGATGCACACGCCCATTTCTCCTCGCGCATGCCCTGTTTAAAAGTTGCTGTTTGCATCACTCATACAAGCTTACTTTCCAAAAGAAGATTTCAATTTTCCCACTATGTCAGACTCGCTACCGGTAAGTGAAAATGGGGATAAACACGTAGGACGGCCTTCCTTACACATTACACCATAATGATTGACAATTAGGAGGACCACTTATCTTGATGATCCACCCAGAAAAACAGCATCATCTACTATACCTTTTACTCACAGGTTTCACTAGTCCGTGTGTCAGAACTAAACTAGCTGCAGGAATTTTGTCATCTGGTTAAAATGTCAGGGTTTTTTGAGCCCGCTACTTAACATGATACAGTAATCTCTTTGGGCTATTTGTAGAGAGGTTGGTAACAATAAAGTGTGACATTGGTTGACTAGTTTTAGGACTGCAGTTAGTTGATAAAATAACCTGGGTTGTCAAAAGTCCAACAAGATGCAAACATTTTAAAGCAATAGAGATTAACAAGTGGAAATATTTAGATTTACGAAGAAAGGTCATTAGAGCCTAACTAAAGCAAGTTAGGCACCACTGGTTACTTAATTCATTTCAGTTACCAATTAAACATCTTAGACACACTAGCTGAAAAGGTAGATTAACAACGCTTTAATTAAGCAGTCAGATCCAGATTGACTTCTAAAAATCTTTATTTTTTAACTTGAAAACACACTTAGAAGGTTAAGAGATGTAGGACTAGTCTATAGGTGGATTTCCATAAAGATCTACACACCAAAACATGCAAATTTAAACCTACACAAATCAATTAGTCAGACGTATAGGTTGCTATTTTGACTAGTAGATGAGAATGAATAGCTACTTACAAACTACTGTTATTAGTGATGAGGTTAGTCAGTCAGACATATTTGAGTTGATTAATGATGCTGGTAGGGGGTTAAATAAATACACAAACAGCATGCCATACAGACCTGACATCCTGCTGTGTCCCTCTGCCTTTTTTTTCCTAGTTTGCGTGCAGATGGCTTGCAAACAGCCCCATGGTGTCTTTCTGCGTTGAGCTTGAGCTTAGCAGGTTGTGCGGGGAGAGACGTGAGGTCTGAGCACCGGAAGTAAAGGAGATAAAAATCCAGAGTGGTTCAAAGGGGAACCAGGGGTCAGCTGAGCCCAGGGGAGCGGAACTGCTCAGACATGGCAGATAATCTTATAAAATGCAAATAAATGAACATTCATTGATAGGATTGTTAGTTAATAACCCAACTCATCTTGTGAACTTTAATAGTCTGTTAAAATAAATCTAGAACTGTCCTGTGAGTTATCAGCAATAACAGGTAATCTGTAAGTGAACCTGGTAAATTATCAGGCAGAGCTTTTCATATATTCCCAACATAAGCAGCTTCCTTGAGGTCTAACTTCAAGTCAGTAAATGTTTCCTGACAGCCCAGTCTTATTGTAAACTGGTATCAGGTTTTCAGATCACAGCACAAGGAAACAGTTTGTACTTTGGTTCAACAAGTATTCTGATTTCTAAACAATGACTGACCTTGAATTTCAGCTATCTAAAGCATAAAATGAGTCATAGATTCATGAAAAGGAGAAATATTTAAAACTTTTTAGCTACCCGATGATGGCTTAAAGTCAAATTCTTTTTTTTCCTGAAGGTTATTTATGATCAGATGGTCACTAAGCTCTCTAGAAGCATGAGCCATAAACTATATGATGGGAAAGTTGAGTGGAAGGAAAACATTCATTCCTCCTAGGTACTGCTTTAACACATACGTCTGCTGCAAACACCGTTTCTAGTTTAGCTTGGAGGTGAAATTTAAAAATGTAACTTACTAATAAACATTAGTGACCCACATGCAACTCTGAATCCTTAGCCTCCAGCTTCGTATGAGTTTGGATGTACCGGGTGGTTTGAGCTCGGAGGACACTTTAAGTTAGTATGTTTCTGGCCTGGATGGCAGCCAGCCCTCACCATCTCTCTCCTTCAGGGGGTGAGCGTCAATTATTCATAAGCCTTGGGTAGCAAACCTGATACTGATAACCCATATGCTATTTATACTTTATTTCCAATAAACAGATAGTTAACTGAATGTCCAGGCAGCTGGGTCACGTCTGTCTGCATGGCTGCAGGTGGACACAGACTGGAAGGTGGAGAAGGAACATAGCAGGGCTGTAAGGGGTCAGGAGAGGGAGGGGGGTAATAAAAGATGGTGGAGAACTCAGAGGCTGTATGATTTTTAACCTCCTTTAGACTGCTATTATCGTTTGCAACACAAAGTAACTTTAAACTACTGAATTAGTGTTTCAGTTCGACTTCGAACAATTTGCAATTTGCCTTCTGCCGTTTAAATACAGATGTTCAAAACTTTCAGTCTATTGTCTCTCAGCTATGCATTCAAGTCCATTTTGACACCAGAAATAGTGAGCGGAACTGTAAAAAAAAAAAAAAAAACCTCATAGCTTACTGGAGAATAGAGAGGCAACCTGGGGTCACATCTACATAACGAGAACTGAAAGGAAAAAAATCATTATCAATTATTGAAATAATCGTCAACTAAAGTGGTAATTAAACTATTGACTAAAGTAATGGTAGACTTTAGAAAAAGCCATTTGCTAAAACGGTAACAGAATTATAGCAGTGATTAAGATAAAACTTAAATTGTTTTTGCTATTGGATATTCATTTAAAATTACGTTTTTTTTTTTCTACTAAAAGCTATCTCACTTTGATTTTAAAAAAAATTATTAGACAAACAACCAAAAGTTACTGGTTAAAAAGGATTAATCGTGATTAATCGATTATTGAAATAATCGCCAACGATTTTAGTATTCGATTAAACGTTAACTGGAGTTTAGAGACGGTAAAATATGCCTTTAGGTGAACGATCAACCAACCCTTGAGCAGCAATCAATTATAAAAAAAAAAAAAAGCTTTGTCGTTTGTCATCATGCTCTATCCAGAGTTTTACTTGGTTTAATTTAATTAAAATTCTGCTTTAAGGAACCTTTTACTATCTGATTATTAACCGAAAAAATAAGTAACAGATTACAGGCTTTATACATGAATAACTTATTTAATGCTTTTTAATGCTATTAGAAACAATCTTAATGCCATCAACAAGTGACTCACACTCTCTCTCTTTCTATATATATATATATATATATATATATATATATATATATATATATATATATATATAAATAAAATAAAAATATATATTTAAACACGGCAAAATCCTTCGTCATCTTCGCTGCAGCCATGTCCCAAATTCCTCATTTTCCAGCCACTTTTGTAGAAATGTGATATATCTGATGAAATTGTTTTTATAAAATTTTTTTTATTTTAAATAAAGCATTTTAAATGCCATGGTAATCACATTTAGTTAATTTTAATGCAAATTAAGGCCTTAATTTAAAGAATAATTATTAAATGCCACACAGAAAGCCTGAATTAACTGATTTGTAAAATAATCGTTAGTTAATGTCGATGTTGGAGAGCTCCATCACCAGGGATTTTTTTATTCTTACAGAAATAAAATCTACAAGTAAAACAGGTGTATTGACATTAGTTTGATCTTTTCTCAAAGTACTTTTATAAGGAACAGATTGGAATAATGCTGTAAGATCCAACTTCTCAATAATAATAAATAAATCTCTAAAACCACTTTCCTACACTCTCATAAAGATCTGTAAAGTACTTTAAATTCCCTCCATTTCAATGTAAAGGCCAGGAGGTTTGTTTAAATAACTTAATGGCAAACAAAAAAAAAAAGACAACAGACACATTTTTTATCTCTTGGGCCAGTGTGGATTACACTTAACAGTTTTATTTGGAATATTAAGACAATGAAGCATAAGCCAAGCACCAAGAGTGACAGCTACAAGTGTCGCTTCATACGGCTCTTATTAAAAATGAACAGGTTATACTGGAAAACAAGGGTTTTACTCGTCTTGAATGGTTAAGCAGATACACAGAACAGACACTGAAATGTGAAACTAATAATGCCATTTACACGCTCCACATCCTATCAGACAGCAGCAGAAAAAAAAGGAAATAAACAGTAAGGAAAAAAAGCAGAAGAATGAGAGCGGCGGTATTCGTCTGGAGACAGCTTGCCCAGCCGCCGGCGGTAGCCCCGGGTTTAAATGGACCCCTCTTTTTTTTTTTCCTGTGTTCAGCCAGAACGAATAACGCTGTCTGGAAACACTACGGTGCTGCAGAGTGACAACCATTAGCTCCCATCATTGTCAAGTCCCACATCCACACTGCAACTAATGTGCATATACAGCATTAAAGTGACAGAGGATTGCAACCATTGTTAAAACTACACTCCATTGCATATCAGGGAGAAGTAAGAATGAAAATAACTCTTTCATACATTTTTTTCACTTGCATATAGCACGTAACCCAGCGTTTCTTTTGTACATCATATTTATACATCTGTGGAAAGATAAAAAAAGAAAAGAAACTGAAATCAGAAGATGTACTGCGGCCGGGCTGCTGGAGAAGGATATAGGAGCGCTACATCCAGGGGTATTGCTGTTGCTTTCAAACTCGCATTTCAAGCTTTAATAGTGCGACTCTGTGATGTCATAGCGGTGGAAATGTGGTAAAAAACAAAACAAACTCATTGAGTTATGCAATGAGATCAAAAAATATACAAAAATACCTTTTTTTTTTTGTTTGTTTGTTGCACAGACAGGTGGTGCTGGTTAAAAGTGTTTTAAGAACTGGGCTTTGTGTAATAACGCGGGTCAGTGCAGGTGTAAGAAGACAAGCAGGCGTGTAATGCACAACAAAAGAATAAATCCTTTTAGGGTATATTTATTTTTTTTACTCTCTACCTAATTTACAAGCTAAACGGCAAACATGTGCTACTGTAAATGTTTGGATATTTCCCATGGGGAAAACTGGGATGAGAGGCTCCGGGGACTCTCCTCACAAAAAGGGCCTGCCTGAGGAAGAGGGGACGGAGGGGAGGGGGGGGAGACAGAGGCGCATTGTTCATAGGAGTCATGGCGGTCACCCCTCACGTTAGACCCTGCACCCCTTTGATGGATCAGTCCACACGCCATCATACTCGCACACAACGCAACACACCCAGACTAAGAACCACTTCCAACCATGTGAAATATTTCTGGACCACTGCCTTTGTTTTTAACTCCAACACTTGAAGGTTTCACGTTAGCTATGCTCACATCTTCAGGGAGTGGGGACATTTTTCAGCAATCTGTTTGCTCTTGGTCATCTGTAGTAATCACACAATGCTATTAAAGGGCTTTTTATGCCGATGAAACTGGAAATTGAACATAAAAGCCTGACTTATGATAAGATTAGAATTTTCTTTATGCTGGTTAGACGACTTTGGGTCAGAGTTTCTATTTTAAGTCCAATATTCACGACTCTGGGGCAAACAAACGTTGCTGACCTAACACTTCCAGACACCACCGCAGAACACAAATACACGATTAAAGTGCTATTTACCTGGAGGAATCCCTTGCCTTCCCTATGGCAATATAAAACTATTCTCCCTAAATGTTGTTGCTCTTTTACTGTTTATCCCCGAAGAAGCTCTGGTAGAAAAATAAGACTGGGGGGGAAAAAAAGAATAAATCTGTGAGCACACTGAAGCACCAACAAAATGCCAGAAAAGCAGAACAACACAGGATTCAATGTTTCCTTAACACTACAGTCACCTCTGCAGATGGGTGGAGAGCAGCTGGATAAAAGCCTCCCTGTCACACAGCAGAGGTGACGTTTGAGGAACCCAGGAAATCTAAACCGAAGCAGCACAAACTAAAAGAACCAGTTGATCCATAACAGAGGGACCTACGGCAGCAGCAGGACAGTTGTTTTAGCCACTAAAAGTAACTGCACCTTGGGCAGGAGGAAGTGTGAACATGCAGCGTGGACAGTTTTCACGAAGTGAAGATCAGCAGAAAATCTTTTGGTTTGTCTCGGAGGAAATGGTGATCGGTCCGGCTCAGTTCGCCGCTTCTCTAACTCTGATCCATGCGTCGACATTTTGTCCCAACCTACATCTACATTGCATTTCTTTTTTCTTTCAGAAAAGCAAACTCATTTCACAAATTACTAACACCACACGATACATCAGGAACCCTGGTGAAACAGCCAACACCTAATCTGAGCAAGTTGGCTTTAAGCTGTTGTACTACAACAGCTTGAAAAACGGCTGGATATGCAGATAAAAGTGTAGTCTAAGTTATTCATGGGCCAAGAAAGGAGGGAAAATGTGACGTTAACTTAAACAGGACAGATCAAGTCGTCCAGTGATCTTCCAGACTGAGCTTAACCTTTGGCCTGGGCAGATTGCATGTTCACACTTACCGGGAAAGTTTCACTTTTGCATTTTCTTGTAAAATGTTAAAGGGAACCACGCTGTCTGCCCCCTTCTATTTTCTCCTACAGTGACCTAAAGCCTTTTTATTCAGAAGAAACCCAGGAAATTCAACAGAATTCTTTAATACTACCATCTCTATGGGTGTTCTAGATTATTCCGTTAAAATGTGCTCACAGTAAAGGATTAAACTTCCCTATTTTTGGTTATTCCAGCTGCAGACCAGAACCTGTGTTGGACAGAATCATGACTGCATTCTGTCCCAGCGATGCCTACAGCAGAACAGCAACCTACTGACCCACTAAAGGCCTAATACTACGTGACAAAGACTAATGCATGCATTAGTGAGGGACAACGGCAACAAACTAACAGACAACCTAATTTAACGATCAGCTCCTAATTAAACGTAGCACCACTAAACTGCAATCTGTAATGTGCAAGAAAGTTAGCGAGCTTCAAGCTCATGCACCTCTTCATGGTTATTCTTTCAGTCTCATCTGAATGGACTGTGTTAAAGCACCTCCTGCTCCAGGCTTAGACTATCAAGCAACCGACTATGGAACAAGACCGATGATTACGGAAAGGCACAAAGGTAACACCTATTTACAGAAGTGACAGGGCGGCCAGCAGCAGTTTCAGACCAAGTCACATCTGAAATGTTTGACGATATGCTAAGATCTCTAACTGTGAACACAACCTGCATCAAAGTGATAACAGTGATTTCCAAAAAGTACCATATCACCATTACATCACTTAACACACACAAAAACGTGTTTCAAGGGGTTTGTAAGAAAGAAAAAAGCAGCACAAACTTGGGAGAAGTAAAGTTCTACAAATAAATCATGAAAGTTTGGAATGTATCTGTATTCTGCCACTTTTATTCAGGTACCGTAAAATAAAATCCAGCATAAAGGACTCCCTTGTATAAATCCAGCTGTTCTGTGGATGCCTGGGGGGTTTATAAGGAAAAAAAACAGCTTGATGAGGACTGGGACAGTGGAGCTGGTAGAAAAGTGTTTTTATATATGATGCATCAAGATTCCACAGCTCCATTATCAGTTATATTTTATATTTACGAAATTCAGAATTAAGTGCACAAAAAGTCCTGTACATAATCTGCAAGAAGAAAAAGGTTATTGGAACTCTGTTTCTCCTGAAATAAGGTACTTGATCATATTTGACAGGGAATTTAAACAGGACCAGCTCAATAACACGCATTTGGGATGAATTAGGGCAGGGGCTGTAATCCCAGTTTTATCATTTAACTTTGAAAGCCCTAGGGCTGAAACAATTAACCGGATTAATCGATTATTGAAAAAACCATCAACTAATTAAGTAATCGATTAATCGTTAACTAGAGTATAGACTCTAATTCATGCCTTTTGCTAAACAAGCAACACACTTAAGGCAGTAATTATATCAAGATTGTAAAAAATATATAAACAATTTGCATTTAAGATAAAAAAAAATGTCAATATGCTCTATCTAGAACTCAAGTGGAAAATTTTGAATTTCAACTGGTTTAAATATGTAAAAAACTAGTTTGAGGAACCTTCAGCTATACAATTATTACTCTATTAATTGAAAAAATAATGGACAGATTAATCGATTTGCAAAATAATCATTAGTTGCAGCCCTAGAATGCCCCCTTTCTTTGTGGCGTTTACAGAAAAAAGCTGCAACTACAATTGACAAACTTTTGGCCTTACAGTGCATCTGACTAATCAGAGGAGTTTTTAGACCAAGAACAGATTTTTGCCCACCTAGGGATTAGAATAAATAAATCTCTGTGTTCTTTCAGATTGTAGATTGCAAGAACACAGATTGCAGAATGTACAGGAGCAAATTTGTTTTTTTATCTAAGGATTCTAAGCAGAGTGCTCTAAAGAAAAATAAACATTACGGCCCAATAATGACAATAAAGACTCTTGATGGGCCACTCATAACTCTGGAGCTACAGATTATGATTATTTACAGATTATTATTACAGATTATGACAAATCAATCTGGTCTGATGAGAAAGCCACGGGAAAGCACATTTTCCACAATCACAAAACTGGCCAAAGAAACTGCAACCTAATTTGTAAAGACTGGTGGGAATACAGTATCCCCTGTTATGACACAATAGTTGCAGCATCATGCTGAGGGAATGCTCCTCAGTAGAGATAGAAAAGCTCACGAAAACAGTAGAAACACAACATAATGCTTGCAGCTGTAATTGCAGCAAAAGACACACAAGTATTTACTCAAGGGGGGCTGATTACAAGTCCATTCCAAACTTTTCAGATTTTCATTTGTCTAAAGCAAAAAGCCAATGTATGATTTCATCTCCACAGATTTGTGGTGATAAAATGTGAAAAAGTTCATTATGTTGGCGAGACGATGCAACATTACATGCACTCGCAAAAAATGGATAGAATATATTAAATGTAGAAAAAAATACAGAGCTGTGTACTGGTCTGCTAATTTTACCACCCAAAGCTACATCTGTTAGCCGCCTATTAGAGCACAAGCTCAGGACTTTAGGTCAACACCCCGGTCAGGGTCAACATGGGACAGTCCTTGACTGAGGGTGGGTCTGACACAGATGGGTTTCTAATATATTAGCCTACCAGTGTTAAGCTAACAGCAATGAGCAGAGGTCTTCAGGATGAGTTTTTTTTATGATAAAAGGGAACATAATGTAGCACATACAACCCTGCAAAGCTGAAGACAGCAGAGATCCTGAACGTTGACCTGTTTCATAAAGTTTAATGCATACAGATATAAATCGTTAGCGGATAGTTAAGATATGACTTTAATAAGAAATATGCAATTTGTCCTGAAGTACTGTCACACATCAGGAATAAATCTGTCAACTTAGCCACGGTCCATATGCATACTTTAAAAGAGATCAGCTGATTTCATGCATGCAACCATATGGCATTGAATGTATCTTTTGCATTCAGACTCACGTCGTCAGCTCTGGCTGCAAAATGAACAGCTGCACCAGCAGCAGCCCGCTCAGCTCACAGACACCCAGCCCTGTTAAGGTGCTCTACCAAGTGTTAATGAAGGTAAATGGTGAAAACAAAGAACGCACAATGTGAACTGTACAGCTCGAGATAGTAGTTTGGTATGAAGAGAGGGGGAGACATGCAGGCAGGTCTACGAGCAGGGTGGTGGTGTGGGTTCAGCATGGACATTTAGCACAAAAATTAGAAGAAAGAGACACAAAGGGCCTTTCCTCCGTGTCAAAACAACCTGTTCATCTTAAAAATGTGCTTGACAGACAGCGTTACACTGAATATAATCATGTATTCTCAGTGATGCAAGTAATACAGAAAACAAAGATTAGAATGAACTTTGTATTAGCTTGTTATACTTAATTCTATTCTCCAATAAAAAGAAAGCCACATTACTATGGCGTCTAACGGGCTACCGAGGAATTTCCTCAGCGAGCGTGCACAGGTGGCAGAGTAGCCCATCTTATTTAACCTTGAGTGGCGGCTCCCTCTCTAGCCAGCGAACTCGTACTTTCTGTTTATAGTGATACTCCTTGAGGAAGTCCTGCAGGGCAGGGGGCAAAGGCAAAGAGCCTATACCATCATAAGTGGTCCATCGGCAGATGGCAGCCCGAGCCAGGTGCTGCAGGGTGAAAGGGAAGGTCCGGTTCAGAGGCACTGTAAGCAGTGGCTCAAAGAACATGCAAGCGCTGGGGTCTTTGTAGTGCTCAAGCAGTCCTGTAACGGTGGAAGAATGGAAAACACACGGATCGTGAGCATCGAAGCTGAAGTTGTGGTTCCACTGCTCGATGCGTGCGTGAAGAGATCTATTGTAACGGCGGAAGCTGACGGAGAAAAGGTAGTCCTCCTGAGCCGAGTCACGCAGCAGGAAGGTGCCTTCTGGTCGTCCGTCTAGAAGCGCCTCGGCCTCATAGCGGTCCATCACACCCCAGTAACAGGGCAGAGCTGTTATCTGCAAGAGGTCTGGCACCAGACAGTGGATATAGTCTATCTGGGTGTGAACCTTCCAGGGCCCAGGCTGCTGCCGGCTCTGGTGACCATCTCCAGAGGCATGCCTCTGCTTAGGTCTTCTAGCTTGAAGACATAAGGTGGTTGAATCCTCCTCAGAATCACAGTCCTGGGATGATGCTGTTGCCCCCAACAACGACCCACACACCCCTGATGATCCCACGCTCACAGAGCTGGAAGCTCCGCTGGCACGTGCTTCCCCAGAGACCTCTCCAATGCCAGGAGCCATCTTTGGTCCTAGTTTGTAGAGAGAAGGACCTGGCACGGAGGCCTCCAGGGTGTGGATCTGTGCATTAGGAGGCGGGTCGACACCTTCCTCGATGCTAAGCCTGCGGCGCTCGCGCAGACGCTCCTCCTCATCTTCTGGTGATGGGTGGGCTGGGTCGAAGGCATCCAGCAGGGCAGTAGAGGAATGAGGACTCACCGGTGCTGTGTGCTGTTTGATCAAGTGCCACTTATGTGCTAGGTCGGAGCCCGGTGGGAAGGGGCAGGTCTCCAACATAAGCTCAGTCAGGTGAATTTTCCTTTTGGAGTTAACAGGGTTTTTAGAATGTGAGCGTCTGCGAGCAGGTAGAGGTAAACACAGCCCGACTGTGTCGCTCAGGCGCTGGCGCAAAGAACGAGCGTTCAGACTTCTGCCCCCAGATCCAGAGTCATTGATCTCTTGGATGGAGCTAATTCCGTAACGCCTATCTCTGCGGTTCCCGCAGCCTCTTAAACGCCCAGACCGCCTGTCGGCCTCCAAAGAGCTCTGGGTTTTTGTGGAGCATGAGTGCTTTTTCTTGCCCCCCCACGGAGCATGTCGGGAATAAGAGTCTCTCCGTGCCATGGGAACACCACCAGAGATTCCTCTGGCATCCTCAGAGTCCTTATCGACAGAGATCTCTACAATCTGCGGGATATCTGACACACAGTTATGATGACGGCGTCCTGTGGCGACCACTGGTGCTGGCATGAGGCTCCATGACTGGCTGGAGGTGGCAGGGCCCTGAGCCTCAACCTCTGCGCCTCCTTCACCAAGATCCACCACACACTGGACCGTTTCTACCTCCACTCTGTTTTCAGTAGATCCCGCACTGTGGAAGAGAGTCTGGCATCTGCTCTTGAGGCTGCTCCACATGTTGCCCACTGTCTTCAGGAAACGGAGCACCTTGGACCTGGCAATGACAGGAGACATCATGGATTAATTCACAAGTGGACTGTTTTAACCAAAACAATGTTTTCAATTCTAGAGAAAGAACCCTGCAAAGAATCCCCTTCATTTTAATTCCTCAGGCTACTGTGTCTGCAGTAATTAAGTCTTGGTAGGAGCGTAACGGGGCCAATGTGCCTCTGAGGTGGGGGAGCTTGAGTGGTTTTAACAGCAGCAGATTTAGGAGTTGCCAGGCAGACGTGAAGAGACACAAGGCCATGGCTATAAATGAACCTGGGATCTGCTCACAGCTGATCTGCTGGTATGTACTGTATTACAGAGCCAGTCTAGACCTGACCAAAACCTTTCCTTGCAACAGCAACAGAAGAGGCACAATTGCATGCTTTCCCTCCATCTTTAACCCCCTGTTCTCACACACTTACTGCTGATTTATGACTCAACACCACCAAGATGTGTCAGGGATTTGGAAGAAATTAGATGACTAATTTTGGAAGGATTTTATTTTATTTTTTGTAACTTTCCTATTAACATGACTCACGTTAATAAGAATTACTGTAGTGCAAACTTTTACGAAAAGAAGTACACCCAAAGTACTTATTTCTAAAACCACAAAATAGCGCTAAAAAGTGAAACAGATGATAATGAAGCATAGTTTAACATTTGAATTACCACAAACCTGAAAAACAAAAATAAGTATATGCTTTTGTTCGGCCCTCTTTACACCAATAAACTCTGTTTATCCATTTTCCTTAAATAGTCATCTAACAAGCAATTAACACTCGTGTGCTATAATTCAAGATGAACCCAGCTGCTCTGTAAGGCTTTGTTAATGAACATCAGGTGAATTAAAAGCATTAAAAAAAACCAAGGCATACAGCAAATGGTTTAGATCGAAGTCATTCATGGCTACACGGCACATGAATAAAATGTACTTTGATTTAAACCTGTAATTTGAATGTGGAAAAACATAAAATCCTTTAATACTTTTAGCATAATAGCCTCATTAAACCAAATTATAAAATCACACATGCCTAGCACAGTTTCACCATCGCCCACTCAGCACTTTCTCTTCGTCTTGAACATTTTCTAATGAAACAGTTCAATTAAAGTGAAGTCACATCAAGTAGAGTCTGAAACGATTACATTTATGACAGTTCCAGGTGAAATGACTCAAGTTCACAACTCTCCCACTTTGTGAAAGTGTAACTTCTTAATTCTGTACATGTGGTGATGTTCAGTACTCTAGAGTTTCATGCTATGTTTAATAATATTCAGCTAACCATGTCCAGTAGGTTGTGCTCATTAGAAAAAGGTTTAATATTACAGGAATGAAAACAGATGTTGAAGTAATGCAACTATATTTAATACACATGTATATAACTTTACCCTTTTTGGAACCCTGGGTTTATTACCATCAGAAATTAAATAATCTACCGATAAGAGAAAATAAGAACTTTCCAGACAGTGAGGATGCCTGGGTACTAGACAAATGAATAACTGGAGAGATAACATCTTCCCGGTGGCTGTGGGACTCCAAAGAATCAAACTAGAAGAACTGGAGGAGTAGGGCAGGGAAAGGGAGGTCTGATGATCCATCTTGGACCCATCCCAAAAGACAAATGGATGGTAATAAATTATCCACTGAAAGAGGTGGTGCCATTTCACAGGAATGCCACAAGTAGAAATATTTAAAAATTCAAATTTGATTCACAAATTAAAACCTTTTATTCTTAAAGGGCCGCTATGTCAAAAAGTTAAGATATACAATGTAACAAGGCAAAATACATAAACAAAACGTAGAGTATGTATGAATTACGTGGAACATAACAGACCCAATACTGCATCCAAGCAGGCTTTGTGATGCAATACTGGACACAATGATGATTGCAATATACTGTAGCTACAAATCAACATCTAACAAAACAGAATTACAATTGGATTGGGAGGAAACGGATGTGTAGCCTGAGAAAACCATTGATCAATGAGGTTAATCTGAGACATAACGGATTTAAAGTTTCTACAGAGCATGTTGAACAGTGACGCAAAGGAAGAAGGGGACGCTACTTAGGGGTGATGGGTGCAGCTGGGTAAATACATGAAGAGATGTGCCACACCTGATGCCTGCTGCATGAGGCTGTGGATGTTGGCCAATGATCAGAGAATCCATAGGTTAGTGAGGCCAACATTCTGCAATGAATGGAAGTCAACCAACTACCTGATGATAGTTGAATGAGCGGGTTACACTTCCTTCCACGAATACATGGGCATATTGAAGATAAGGTCGGAATCGATGGGTCTCACACTGTGGTGTAGTAGTTCAAGAAGCATGGGACATTCACTGGCCACAACGTAATAAAGACCCAATATGGAGTGTTAAGGATCAGCCCGAGGACACGTTTGTACAACTGTCCAACATGCATAATCTCTTTAGTACTGGGGTGAAAAATCTATTCAATACAGAAAGGATATAAATGAAGTTCAAACAGCTTATTGAAACTATGCCACAGCAAATGTGTGCTTTGAAAATGACACATTAGAGTGACTTATCTTTTGGATACGGAGAGCTATAACCTCATAATTAATGGTGGCTCAGTCTGTTACACTAAATGTGGTGCAAGCTCACTAATCAGATAATGGAAGGGTCAGACATTGCTGACTGAGGAATGCTGTTAACTAAACTAACTAAAAATCCCCCCTTCTTTTAATCACCAGAGGTATAAAGAACAGTATTACAGTAAGCAGATTTGGAAATTAACTTTTTGATTCACTGGCCAAGTGGACCAGAAGATAAAATAATTTACTGGCCGAGTATATTCTAACCTGACAAGGGGGGGAAAAAAAGGATAATTTACTCTCACATATTTTAAGAAACGTATTATTTCACTAATTGCATTTTTGTTAAATGCAAACAATGTTACAGTAAAAGGTAATGTAGTCACATTAAATAAAGTTGTAATTTAGAAATTTTATCAAATTTAAAAAGAAGTGCAAATGCAAAATTCTTTTGATAAATAGGTCATGAAAAACATTGAAAAAACAGCAAACTATTTTCATTTATTACATTGTCCATAATTAAAAGGGTAGCTTTTCTTCCAATGGCATGGGCAGTGCTAATTAATATTTTCATGTTTCTGTGTCTGTGTTGATATAGCCATCAGCGGACTAACAGTTGCTGAGACATGAACATCCAGTGAATGTGTCAATTACTGCGCTTATGTCCATGGATGCCCCCCAGTTTCACAGATAGACAGCCAGTGACAAACACTGAGCAGCTCATTAGCATTAGCATCATCGTCATAACTAGGCCAGTCTCTTCCAAAACATTCTTCCCGAAAGCGCCATTTTTCAATAAACTTTCTCTCCGCCTTGGCGGCTGTAGATTCTGGCCCACCCTCCTCCTCATCGGCATGCTCTCTTTTATGAGGCTTGGTTGCTCCAACCATATTCCACCACAGATTGCCAAGTGGCGATCTTGTTGCCAAATTACAGGGTATTGGGGGTGTTCTCTCCGTACGCACATCTGTCTAGGAGCAGACAGCTGAGAAACAAAGGGACAGTCTGGGGACTTACCAAAATAAAAGATGAAATGACGATACTGAAGCACAACTTTGGCCCAATCATTGACTCGCCTATTGGAGAATGGTGTTCTGGTATTAACTCGCCAAATGAAAAAATGAGACACATTTGACCAGTGGAGTGTTCATTTCAGACCCTGGTGGTAATGAATTACATTTTGATCCCAGTCAAACATTTTTGAATTCACAATTGAATTACAAAGATAAACTGGCATAGGAAATGCACCTCTAATAGAAAGCATATTTAATCAAGTCAAGCACAATAAATCACTTGACCAACAAGCAGCGGCGGACTCTTTCAGAACACTGCAGGATCAAAAAGCTACAGCTATACTGTTGTAATAGGTCTATAGCTGCTGAGAATAATCAACTAGAATTCACCAAAAGCAGTCTTTTCTGATCCTTTTAATGACAGGGCTCCGGTATGCTAAAACATACCCTGAAGAGGCTGATATTCACAACTATGTTTGGGAAAACTGTTCCACTTAGAGCCGAAATCATAACAAACCACACAGGTTGCAAGAAACAAAGTTGTTCAGGCAAGCATGGACTGAACACAGCCCACCCTCATAACTAACATGAATCCCCCCCCCATGCTCAATAAAACCCAATGAAGTTCTCTTCCCCCCCCTGACTGGTATATCCAAAGTTAAACAGCTGTTTAACATTAGAGATGCACAACTTAATGAGATCGAGTCAACCAGTTTTTCCTCTATGCTGGTTCTGATCAATGACTGGTCCGTTTTGAGAAGGCTGTAAGTATGAGGTAAGAGGCCCACAGAATGTTGCTCTGGGTCCTCTAACAAGACCCTTTGGCCACTGAGTTACTGACTGCTTCTTAATGGTCATGACTTAAATACAGAAGACAATTTTCATTGGAATGTGTCACTGCAATGACCAAAATGAGCATTTTTATCATCATCAAGTGGGTCCTATGAAGGAGTTTACAGATGTCATTCAGCAGATCAGATAATTTGATTTGGTCAGCCCTTAATTAATGACTGTGGCTATTGATAGGCTATTTAAACTGCATAAAAACGTTAAAACTTTTTTAAAAAAAACTCTGTATTTGTATCAAATATGCGTCTGTTATCTTGAGACAAAAAAAGGGAATCGATGCTTAAATGTTAAATGTGTATGGCCTTTAATTATTCCAGAATTCAAAGTACTACCAATGAAGATGCAGAACCCAAGAGTTGCTTAACAGATTGTTTGATTGTGTGGTTTGTGTTAGTCATAATCATGACAGTACAATATAATGAGCGGAATATGATACAACTACAAGTGAAATCCCTATAAGCACTAAAAGAACCAAGAGTTGCACATTTCATTTTGATTTCAACATCTATTCTTAGTCGTTTCTATGCACAATCTCTTCCTAAACAAATGCGAGCGTTGCCAACGACTGCAGCCAATGCGCTGATCAGGT